GTTGGAGTGGTTGGTACTTTTGTTTAATAAATGTATGAAAGAGGGGAAGGTACCTAGGGATTGGCAGAGAGCATGTATAGTCCCTTTATATAAAGGGAAAGGGGACAAAAGAGATTGTAAAAATTATAGAGGAATAAGTTTACTGAGCATACCAGGAAAAGTGTACGGTAGGGTTATAATTGAAAGAATTAGAGGTAAGACAGAATGTAGGATTGCGGATGAGCAAGGAGGTTTCAGAGTGGGTAGGGGATGTGTAGATAAGATAAGATAAGATAAGATTTCGTTCGGATTTTTAACCCCGGAGGGTTAGCCACCCAGGATAACCCAAGAAAGTCAGTTCGTCATCGAGGACTGTCTAACTTATTTCCATTGGGGTCCTTAATCTTGTCCCCCAGGATGCGACCCACACCAGTCGACTAACACCCAGGTACCTATTTGCTGCTAGGTGAACAGGACAATAGGTGTAAGGAAACGTGTCGGAATTTTCACGCGCCGGGAATCGAACCCGGGCCCTCCGTGTGTGAAGCGGGAGCTTTAGCCACCAGACCACCGGGCCACACACCAGACCACCGGGCCTGAAGCATATATGTGAACAGTATTTAGATAAAGGTAGGGAAGTTTTTATTGCATTTATGGATTTAGAAAAGGCATATGATAGAGTGGATAGAGGAGCAATGTGGCAGATGTTGCAAGTATATGGAATAGGTGGTAAGTTATTAAATGCTGTAAAGAGTTTTTATGAGGATAGTGAGGCTCAGGTTAGGGTGTGTAGAAGAGAGGGAGACTACTTCCCAGTAAAAGTAGGTCTTAGACAGGGATGTGTAATGTCACCATGGTTGTTTAATATATTTATAGATGGGGTTGTAAAGGAAGTAAATGCTAGGGTGTTCGGGAGAGGGGTGGGATTAAATTTTGGGGAATCAAACTCAAAATGGGAATTGACACAGTTACTTTTTGCTGATGATACTGTGCTTATGGGAGATTCTAAAGAAAAATTACAAAGGTTAGTGGATGAGTTTGGGAATGTGTGTAAAGGTAGAAAGTTGAAAGTGAACATAGAAAAGAGTAAGGTGATGAGGGTATCAAATGATTTAGATAAAGAAAAATTGGATATCAAATTGGGGAGGAGGAGTATGGAAGAAGTGAATGTTTTCAGATATTTGGGAGTTGACATGTCGGCGGATGGATTTATGAAGGATGAGGTTAATCATAGAATTGATGAGGGAAAAAAGGTGAGTGGTGCATTGAGGTATATGTGGAGTCAAAAAACGTTATCCATGGAGGCAAAGAAGGGAATGTATGAAAGTATTGTAGTACCAACACTCTTATATGGGTGTGAAGCTTGGGTGGTAAATGCAGCAGCGAGGAGATGGTTGGAGGCAGTGGAGATGTCCTGTTTAAGGGCAATGTGTGGTGTAAATATTATGCAGAAAATTCAGAGTGTGGAAATTAAGAAAAGGTGTGATGTTAATAAAAGTATTAGTCAGAGGGCAGAAGAGGGGTTGTTGAGGTGGTTTGGTCATTTAGAGAGAATGGATCAAAGTAGAATGACATGGAAAGCATATAAATCTATAGGGGAAGGAAGGCGGGGTAGGGGTCGTCCTCGAAAGGGTTGGCGAGAGGGGGTAAAGGAGGTTTTGTGGGCGAGGGGCTTGGACTTCCAGCAAGCATGCGTGAGCGTGTTAGATAGGAGTGAATGGAGACGAATGGTACTTGGGACCTGACGATCTGTTAGAGTGTGAGCAGGGTAATATTTAGTGAAGGGATTCAGGGAAACCGGTTATTTTCATATAGTCGGACTTGAGTCCTGGAAATGGGAAGTACAATGCCTGCACTTTAAAGGAGGGGTTTGGGATATTGGCAGTTTGGAGGGATATGTTGTGTATCTTTTTATGTATATGCTTCTAAACTGCTGTATCCTGAGCACATCTGCAAAAACAGTGATAATGTGTGAGTGTGGTGGAAGTGTTGAATGATGATGAAAGTATTTTCTTTTTGGGGATTTTCTTTCTTTTTTGGGTCACCCTGCCTCGGTGGGAGACGGCCGACTTTTTGAAAAAAAGGAAAAAAAAAACTTGCCAAGTTTCCTTTTGAAGACTTTTACTTGTGTCTGGCAGTGTTTCTGATATCTTCTTATGAGATGTTAAACAGTCTGGGACCACAGACGTTGATGCAATGTTCTCTTATTGCACCCATGGCATCCCTGCTTTTCACTGGGTACATTTTATATTACTTTCCATCTCTCTCACACCAGTATGTTGTTATTTTAGTGTGCATATTTTGAATGAGACCCTTAAGTACATTCCATGTATTTTTTTATTAATACATCGGCAGTTTCCCACCAAGGCAGGGTGACCCAAAAAAGAAAAACATCATCATCATCATTCACTCCATCACTGTCTTGCCAGAGGCTCACTCACAACTCAGTTATAAAACTGTAACATTAACACCCCTCCTTCAGAGTGCAGGAATTGTAATTCCCACCTCCAGGACTCAAGTCCGGCCTGCCGGTTTCCTGAGAGCCCATTGTAAGGCGAAATGATCGTAGGTTGAATTAATTCTCCCCATAAGAAATAATGGAAAACAAATTAATCTATTCAAGACACCCAAAAGTATGAAAAATTTTTTTTACCACATGAAATATACATTTTCCTACACACAAAAAGAAGGATACATGCACAGAAGTAGAGTAGTACATGCACAATATATATTGTGCATGTGGGTCACATCCTGGGAGACAAGATTAAGGACCCCAATGGAAATGAGTTAGACAGTCCTCAATGACACACTGACTTTCTTGGGTTATCCTGGGTGGCTAACCCTCTGGGGTTAACTGTTTCTCGGTATTCTCGATAAGCCACACCAACAACAGTCTCTCCACATCTTCGAGTAGTGCAGTTGACCATGGTGCAGCAGCAGAAGCAACTGACTGTGGTACAGCAGCAGCTGACTGTGGTACAGCAGCAGCAGCAGCTGACCGTGGTGCAGCAGCAGCAGCTGACCGTGGTACAGCAGCAGCAGCAACAGCTGACCACTGGGAGTGCTTGAATTTCCTGAACCTGTATTCCCTGGAACGCAGGCAGGAGAGATACATGATTATATACACCTGGAAAATCCTAGAGGGACTAGTACCGAACTTGCAAATGAAAATCACTCACTACGAAAGCAAAAGACTTGGCAGACGATGCAACATCCCCCCAATGAAAAGCAGGGGTGTCACTAGCACGTTAAGAGACCATACAATAAGTGTCATGGGCCCCGAGACTGTTCAACTGCCTCCCAGCATACATAAGGGGGATTACCAACATCCCCTGGCAGTCTTCAAGCTGGCACTGGACAAGCACCTCAAGTCGGTTCCTGACCAGCCGGGCTGTGGCTCGTACGTGGTTACTCAAGCAGCCACTGTAACAGCCTGGTGACAGGCTCTGACACACCAGCAGGTTCCTGGTACAGACCGCGCGGGGCTTGACCCGGAACTCTCGTCAGTAATGGTACAGCGGCAGCACAGCAGACTGCCATTGAGCGCACTAGGTCGCAAGAGGCCGCGTACTGACAGTGGTACAGCAGCCAGCAGACAGCTGACCATGGTACACAGCAGCAGCAGCTGACAGTGGTACAGCAGCAGCAGCCTGACCATGGTACAGCAGCATGCAGCAGCTGACCATGGTACAGCAGCAGCAGCAGCTGACCATGGTACAGCAGCAGCAGCATGACAGCAGCTGACATGGTACAGCAGCAGCAGCAGCAGCTGACCATGGTACAGCAGCAGCAGCAGCAGCTGACCATGGTACAGCAGCAGCAGCAGCTGACCATGGTACAGCGCAGGCAGCAGCAGCAGCTGACCATGGTACAGCAGCAGCAGCAGCAGCAGCAGCAGCATGACCATGGTACAGCAGCAGCAGCAGCAGCAGCAGCTGACCATGGTACAGCAGCAGCAGCAGCTGACCATGGTACAGCAGCAGCAGCAGTTGACCATGGTACAGCAGCAGCTGACTGTGGTACAGCAGCAGCTGACAGTGGTACAGCAGCAGCAGCTGACCATGGTACAGCAGCAGCTGACCATGGTACGATAATTTTTCGATAGTATTTCTCACCCTTTTTACCACAGGGTTAGCACTAGAAGCTTTCTTTGGGCCCATGGTGGCTTATTTAGCAGTTACAAGCACTAAAATCACTGGAATACAAAATTTATCAAATGTAAGCATGAAACCATCCACCCTGGCTTGTAAACAATGTCACACTAGCTCAGCTGAAGCGCTCTGACCAGATGGACCAGATGGACGAATTCCGGACGAATGCTGTAGAGTTTTCAGCGTACGTCAGGGTCAAATTTTTACGCTGAAAAGCATTGTAGGTTGGTTTTAACATAGGTTGGGGACATCGTATTTCAGGGGTCCACTGTATATGAACTTCCTGTAATTAATGGTTCATTTCTACGAGAGTTCTTAACTTAGATTTTGCACATACGCAGAAATATTTGAGGTTCTTCACAATATTCCAGAAGGTATTCGTGTTCCTTTTGTGGTTCTTCCATCTGGTATGAAAGGTAAAGTTTTTGTTCTATCTCGGGATTCTCCTGGCTAAGATTTTCTTTCCGTTGTTAGTGGCAAATTCACATTTTTTAAGCAGTTTAATAATCCCTTTTCCTATTCTATACAATCTTATATGCTTACAATTGGGTCATATTTGTTCAAAGTACATCACATATGCTGCTTTGCCACTATTACAAACCAAGGACCTTCAATATTATAACAGCAGACCACTGTAGAGTTGTCATTTACATTAGGGAAGCAGGAGACTCTTATTTCCTAACGGTGAAAATTACACATATGGTTTATGGAATACTCTTGCATAACCCTTAAAATATCACCAAGGCTCTCAGCTTGATCCAAATCACTGAACTGCACAAGAATTTTTTATCCATTCTACCACTCATCAGTCTCAAAATATTCATAAACTCATTGTCACTGTTATTAGCAACTAATATTTAACTTCTTTACCTTGGTTTACCTCCTCACGTTCCAGAAGACGATTGATCCTTGTGAAAAATCCTGGAGTGATGATTGCACATGGAACAAGAGAGGTGTAAGCAGCTATTCGGACCTCTATCTTCTCAGTAACATCCTCTAGAATCTTATAAGAGAGAATCAGTTAGCATATAGTTGACTGTAGGAGTTGCTCAACACAACTGGCATAATTGTCCTTTGCTAACAATTAGGCTGTGTACATACTGTGCTGCAAAATATTTGTTATAAAGTGAGTCCACCAAGGATGGAAATATGCAAAATGTCTACTTCACAAAATATCTTTCAACTGAAAGCATGAAGGTAAAAAATAGTGAGGAAGCCTAAAGATGATTATTATTCCTTACACAATAGTGATTTTTCTGTAGTGATGTGGACTGGTAGGTTCACTGCTGTGCACCTCTATACTCATGAAATCATAACATGATTGTCTAGCTGGCCAAGTAGCTAATGCACTGACCTGTGAGTTTTAGGACTCACTTGTCATGGGTTCAAACCCCATCCATTCTGTGATTTATTTCACCACTACAGAACCTGTAGTTTCTATGGTGGTTATTTTTTGACTTGATGTACAAGCCCTAAGTTGAAAATTAACCATAGCATTTCATTTAAAATGTGCTCACTCAACCGAATCTCTTTGTTTCTGAACATTCTTATGAATGTGTGTTATCACAATATGCAATACAACCACTGTGAAAAAATCGTGATCTTCCAAGTGCTTTAGTGATTTCTCACAACATTAATACTGATATTCTTATGAATGCAAATATTAATAAGTTAAAACAATATTTAAAAATGATATGGTCTCTGAAATACAAAACGATACGGAATTCTCAAAAAGGAAATCATCAAAATGACAGAGTTTAGCAATATGTATTTACAAATTCTGAATTTATGGGAACCTCTAGGAACTTGACTGATGAATCTGAGGGCTGACTATATTTAGTTCTATGCTTGCTCTATTTTTAATACCTAAATTTGTTGTTTGTATACCTTTAATGTCCACAAATATAAGGAAATAATAATTATTGCCATTTTAGTCTTAAGTTAGGCTTAACCTTGCCTGAAATGTTCTGCATAATCATAGGCTTTCTATATGCAACGACCAAATGTCACCCATCTCTGTAGAAACATTCTGTCAGGTGGAAATAAATCTCTGACTGACTTAAGTGTGGTTGTAGGACACAAAAGTTACCATGTGCAGTTTTGACAGAGTGCTTCAGTTGCTCTCCTATGTACATGTCGCAAGCCAGTCTCAATTTACATTTGATTAATTAGTAACTGTATTGGTCAAGATGCTTTCCTTTACCACACTATATTATCACAATTTTCCTCAATGTTAAATACATAAAACCCTCAATTTAGCAAACCTCAATTTAACAGACTTCAGATATACAGGACAAAATTTGCTAGATCAAGCAATTCAGAAATAATGAACAAAGTTTGTTGGCTGTAGAATACATAGTTCACAATTGCTACAATCAAGGCAAGACAATCTTATCTCCATCCACCACTAATTACCACCTGCTTCCAACATCAGTCTGTTAAATTGAACGTTCACTATACTCATGTTACTGCTATTTTTCTTTCAACATACCAGTCATCTCCAACCAAGGCAGGGTGACCAGAAACAAAAGAAAAATATAAAGTTTATTTTCCTTTTGGATTTAGAAATTTATACAAAAGGGGCTACTAGCCCCTTGCTCCAGGCATTTTAGTTGCCTCTTACAACACACATAGCTCATAGAAGAATAGATTCTTTATTACTGTTAATAATATTAGAGCAACATATTAACAATACGCCTGGAATGATTACCTAAAGTCTTACAATTACAAGTGCAGGAATACCAAAACTGTGTGCTGTACAATGACTATTAAAAAGGTAAAAATAGGCATGCCCCAGTTTGTAAGAAAGTTGCATACCAGAAACTCCAACTTATTAACATGTCTGTCCTACAATTAGAGGATGGAAGATCAAGTCTGCAACACTAGTTACACTAAGAGACCCCACACAGGTTTAGTCTTTCATATAAATATAATGATAATCATTCAACTTATGATTGAGTTTTTCAGAATCAGAACCCATTTTCCCATAGAAAATGAGAGCATAAAGCATAGTTATGTTCCACACACTTTAATAAGTACAGATTATATTCAAAAAACGAGTTTTCAACTACCCTACTATATATTTTGCATTGTCAGTACTGTACTGCTGTTCTGAACTTTAATGTTTATATTTCTGGGATCATCTGTATTAATTTTGCTGCTCTACAACAATCTGTCTGCATAAAAAATACTTCACTACCAATTTTTTTCTTTTTAACATACAGGCCGTCTCCCACTGAGGCAGGGTGACCTAAAACAGAAACACTTCCACCATCATTCACACTATCACTGTCTTGCCAGAGGTGTACAGTTATCTGTACAATACAGTGGACCCCCGGTTAACGATTTTAATCCGTGCAAGAGGGCTCATCGTTATGCGAAATAATCGTTATGCGAATGAATTTTCCCCATAAGAAATAATGGAAATAAAATTAATCCGTGCAAGACGCCCAAAAGTATGAAAAAAATTTTTTTTTACCACATGAAATGTTAATTTTAATACACACAAACTGAAAAAGGCATGCACAATTACATGACACTTACTTTTATTGAAGATCTGGTGATGATTGATGGGATGGGAGGAGGGGAGAGCATTATCTTCTTACTGTTTAGAAGGGGAATCCCCTTCCATTAGGACTTGAGGTAGCAAGTCCTTTTCTGGGGTTACTTCCCTTCTTCTTTTAATGCCACTAGGACCAGCTTGAGAGTCACTGGACCTCTGTCGCACAACAAATCTGTCCATAGAGCTCTGTACCTCCCGTTCCTTCAAGACTTTCCTAAAATGGGCCATAACATTGTCATTGAAATAGTCACAAGCACGGCTTGCAACAGCTGTGTCAGGGTGATTTTCATCTATAAAGGTTTGCAGTTCAACCCACTCTGCACACATTTCCTTAATCTTTGAAGTAGGCACAATGGATTCCACAACTGGCATAGGCTTCTCAGGGTTAGCCCCAAACCCTTCAAAATCTTTCTTAATTTCCATACTAATTCTCACCCTTTTTACCACAGGGTTGGCACTAGAAGCTTTCTTGGGGCCCATGGTCACTTATTTTCCAGAAACAGCACCGAAAACACTGTAATAATACGAAATATTCCGAGTGTATGCTTGGATGTTACCGCGGAGGCTGGCTGGTAAACAATGGGACGGCCGGCACATGTGAGGGCACATTGGACGCGTCTCGGACGAAAATCGGTAAGCGGGTTTTTAATCGGTATGCGCGGCAAAAATTTTGCGATAAAAGTAATCGTTATGCGGAAAAATCACTATGTGATGCCATCGTTATGCGGGGGTCCACTGTATAAATAAATACTCATACATTACCAATTTACCTGGTCCTGATTTAATAAGCCTGATTCAGTTTATGTATATAATTACACCAAAGACTGTATGACCAATTTACCTTCCAGGGAGCCTTGGAGTGAGGACAGCCAACCCGTCTGTAACTCTGAAGGGCAGCAACACGTAGCTCAGGCATTAGCAATCTGTTCTGTTGAAAACAGCAAATATTTCCATGAGACATTTCTTAGTAATATTCAGTTTAACTCTAACAATAAAAAAAATTTAAAATTGGTATAAAATACTGTACAAGCAAGTTGATGAGTAGGACACATGTGCAACAGTTGGGTATCTTTACAAATACAAATAATTTATTTCTTTTCTGCAGTATACAGGTAATGTAGTTTACATGCAATAAAATATTGTTAGGCACAAAAGAAAGTCCCTAGCATGAAGTGCATTTCTGGCACACTACTTAAGAACTGTTGTACATGTGTTACTCATCAATAAAAAACTTGTACATACAGTAAACTCTCACATATTGCAAGAATTATGTTCCTGAAAGCCTGTGCTTTATGCAAGATATTGATATGTGAACTGAAGAAAATATGGGAAAAATAGGGTTACATTTGTGACACCTCCAAAAACCCCAAACAAATTTCTTTAAATTTTATATCTCAAAAAAAAAAAAAAAATTAAAATAAAGTTCTTCATACCTCATACTGTAACTGTCATTGCTTGTTAATACAGAAATGTGTGGTGAGGGTTAACCTTTTCACTGGTATGTACACGATGTGTCACTGACACCTGTGTCACAAACGTAGATCTACATTTTAAGCATAGCACCTTCAAATATGCTGTGAGTGGTAAATTTTGGCCTAGACATGAGAAATTTGGTCTTTGTAATGACTGTGCACAACATAAAAAAAAAATCTTGCCCCATGCAGTGCATGATGTGAGGTGTTTTCTAAGGTGGTTTTTGACAATTGTATTGTCTGTTTCTGGGTATCAACTGAGAGAATGGAATATATACCAGTGAAATAAAGATGTTTTTTTCTGTTTCAAGACTGGAAGTAGCTTGAAATAAGGCTCAAAGTAGCAGAAAAATTTGATTTTCCTGAGGAATGGCTAGGCCTCCCTATCCCTCCAGTCTGTTTTATGGGACTTTACTAGGTCTGCTTCAATAACAAGGATGGCCAAAACCATGATCAATCATTCTCAAATGTATTTATTATCCAAACCTTTGATTTTTGGCGTGATGATGGATTCAAAATGGAGGGCAAGTGTTATACAGGAGAGGCTTGGGGATGTGATTAACGAACAGAGGATAGGTTGCTTTAGTGGCTGGATTGTCTATAGTGTTTATTTTGGACTATGCTTTTTAATTGGGATCTGTTAAATTTTGTGTAAAACTGGCCAAATTACTGAATTCTGTGCACCTTTTAGGGTAGTTCTGATTGTTGAATGGGCAGTTTCTTGCACTCACTCGAGTGAAATTTGGTTAATTGAGCAACAAAATTGGCTTAAAATAGGACTTAAGTGGGTGAAATCACTGATGTATAAACTGCCCCAGACCACATTTGCACCTGAGTATGTAATTCTGTACGTTTTCCATCAAATTTTACTTTCTTGGCATTATTACCTTCAGAAAAGCTTCTCTACCATTTCAGATTTTTTTTAAAATCACAACCCTGTCACCACTTTTAATTTAAGGGTTGTGATAGTGAAAGCATTAACGTGACCCTACTAGGCCTAGTTATGTATTTAGCTGAATTGACCTTCTTGATATTCTTTCCAGTATGTCACAATCTGGGCTGCTCAGCGCACAAGCTCTTATTTTCACCTAATCCTGAATTTAATAAACTGTTGATTTTGTAACGCCAATGACATGAGTCATCTGAAGTTTTTTAAAACAGGCTTAATTTCATGCTTATATTTCTGGGCACCTTTAGCATCACTAGTGTTTCTTTTGGAAGACATAATAATAATCAGAGATGAGAAAGGGTGATGAAGAGATAAAAAATAAAATAGTGACAAACACTTGACAGCATGATACAAGATGCATCCAGAGAGAAGCTGGCCATGTGGGTGGATATTTACCTCAAGTAGTGAAGCTAGGTCTCCCCCATAACAATGGCCTCACCCTAGGTGCAGAGAGGAAATATCCCACTCTGCAATCCATCAGTATTTCACACAAAACTTGATTTTTTCCCATGTATGGTTACTCTCCCAAGAAATGTGATCTTGGAAACAATACATCAATTGCTCTATATATATATTTGTGGTAGCACAAAATGCAAATCTACTGCATTTGCTCAAATATTTTTTTTCATCATACCGGCTGTCTCGCACCGAGGCAGGGTGACCCAAAAAAGAAAGCTATAAAAGTATCTCCTTTTTACATTTAGCAATTTATACAGGAGAAAGGGTTACTAGCCCCTTGCTTCTGACGTTTTAGCTGCCTCTTATGACACACATGGCTTATGGAGGAAATATTTAAATGGTGCATGTTCTTTAAAAAATTAAAATAGTGAGTCTAAATTATCTTCACTCATTTCAGATAACTAATGAACTTTTATTTTTAACTTCAAAACTCTCATAAAAAAAATCTGAATTACCCACCATGTAGCATTTTTCAGGGAAGTGGTCAGATGGTAAGATTCCAGCATTACCCAGGGCCCTCATCAGTAGCTTGACATGCTCCTGGTGTTTCTTACTTTTTCCTTGTCCACACACATCTCCCACCTGCTCCTTTACATACTCCATAAGAGGCCTAGTGTAATAATAAAGATCTTTTGGAAAACTGGTAAGCCAGTATTGTGTCGGCATACTATTTTTTGGCATTAGTTTTGCAAACTGCAATCACTAACAGTGATAATTAAATAACAAAGTTTTACTTCTAAATTAAGCAAGATGCAAGACATTACAAGCTGAAAAAAGCTTATTATGTTTAAATTACTTTTTATAATAGATGTATGAAAAGAGTTATAAAGAAACAATGTATTTTTTATATCCAATGGCAAATCTAATGACTGGCTTGATAAGGGGCTATCTATAAGTAGTTTATATATGCCAATCACCCTAATTGTATAATATACTGTGTTTCACTTTACTGAAATAAAGTTTGTTTGTTTATTAAAACTGAGGCCATTACATACATAATATACAATATAATAGAACAATGTCTTAAAACTGTACTCCACTAAATTTCAAAATTATATGTGAATGTATCCTAAACTATTTAAGTGATAAAATTCTCCTAGGAATAATGCAAAATGTTATCATTCATATCTAAGGTTTATTTCTAAAGCTGAGAATTTCATCCCTGACAGAAGAGTAAAAAGAATATTTAAGATTTATGCCAGGTGTGCAATAAAAAAAAGTGAAATACTTTATCTAATTAAAAAAAAAATGGGATACTTTACCTAAATATAAATTTAAAGAACCCATTTCAAAACTGCATGAAACAATGGGTGTTGTAACTTTGTAACTGTCTCAACCTTCATCACTACACACAACATAAATTTGAAAGAGCTAATTCATGCCAATCAATCAAAACCTAAGAAGACACAAAAAGTAGAGATTTACTCTGGTAACAATCATACAGGAATAGTAATTATTGATACAGGAGGGCCCTGCTTATACTGTAAAGCAAGAATTTCACTTTCAAATACATATAAAAGCCTGATAATGTGTTTACACTATCATATATTTAGGGAAAAATATTGTTAGGCCTAAAAAGTGCACATACAGTACACATATTACTTATCTTAAAATATTTTTGTCCTTAGCTTATAGTAAGTGGTGAATCATTTTACTGTAGGAAGTCTGAATAATGAAGAATGAGTATAAGTGAAAACAGCTGCATTAGCAAAACGCCATAAAGCAAAACCCTGTAATGTGGGACCTGCCTGTAGGTAATTCTAAGATATAATTGCCTTGTATAATTACTTATTTGTATGTATAGTTGTAGAGCTAAGCTAGTGGTGTCCCATTTGCAGTATTTAGTCTATGAAAGTTTGTTAAAATTTCCAGAGGTTGTTATACTTCATACTTCCCCTCTTAACTCATTCCATTAACTTTGAGTACCTTCCAGGTGAAGCTAGAGTGGCAAGGATTTAATTTATTTTGTTCATAAAAAAAGTGTTATATTAGATCCCATTTCCAGACACTTAAAGAGGCATAGTTATGGGGTGTACAAGACTAAGCAAATTCATCCAAGGACTAAAAACACTAAACAAAAATTCTTCTCACCCTGAGAACAGTACCCTGCAGTCATGAGGCAGAGTACATACAACATGTTAGCTTTTATATAAGCACTTTAACAAAATAAAAATTGTTTGGCTTACTGTGCATGGAGTTGACATCTCTGAGGTTCTTGCTGGCAAGCTTTATAGATCATGGTGGAAGCTGTCATCACTGCTTGGTTTGCTACACTCTTCCTAGATTGTGCTAACTCCTATGAATAAAGAGAATTGTAATTAAATATTTAAATATGCAATAAACACTAATCTGAAGTATGTATATACATAAAAAATCTTTAGTATAATAGTTTTTAAGTAAAACAAAAGGAACTGATGACTTGTAAGTGGCAAAATTTATAATGCAATATTTTCTTAGGATCCTAGGTAGTAGGTTGGTAGCCAGCAACCACCCAGGGAGGTGCTACCGTCCTGCTAAATGAGTGTAAAACCAAAGCCTGTAATTGTTTTACATGATGGTAGGATTGCTGGTGTCTTATTTCTGTTTCATAAACATGCAAGATTTCAACTACATCTTGCTACTTCTACTCACACTTAGGTCACACTACACATGCATGTACAGGCATATATATATACACCTCTCTGCATTTTTCTGTTTTCTTACTAGTTCTTGCTCTTGTTATTTCCTCTTATCTCCATGGGGAAGTGGAACAGAATATATCCTCTGTAAGCCATGTGTGTTCTAAGAGGTGACTACAATGCTGGGAGCAAGGGGCAAGTAACCCCTTCTCCTGTATACATTACTTAAGCTAAAAAGAGAAACTTTTGTTCTTTTTTGCGTTACCCTGCTTCGGTGGGATATGGCCGGTTTGTTGAAAGAAGAAGAGTAGTAGATGCAAAATGTTAAACTGTGTCCCAATGATCATTTAGGATGGAAGAAATTATGCAATGGGGAGAAGATTTATTTTCTCAAGTCTAGTCATGACTACTGACACAAAGAGTGCACCTTGGTGAGCTGTCCTTATGAGCACATTTTACTTCAGAATGACCAAAGCCCTGGTAATGATAACAATGAATCACCCAAAACCTGACATAAACCTTCCACATTGTCAAGCCAAGAAATATATACTGTACCATCCATTCTTAAAGATGGCAGCTGTACTGCTACTGCGCTTAACCTTCAAAAAACACATGCCAGGGACACAACCCATTTTAAATACTTCCTTGATTTCTGAATTTTTGGCAAGAATACTAGATAAAATTTCATCATCTGAGCAAGAGGGCAAAAGAAGAATTTTAGTTACTTTAGGCTGAATGATACTAGTACTATACTATATCATACTGAACTGTTCTGTACCATACTTTACTGTACTCTACTATATTGTACTGTTCTGTACTATACTTGTGCATAACATTTTAAACATTTAAGGCATTTTTGAGTTAACTGATAAACAAAAATCCACAAAATTGCTGAACCTCCATAGCTATGAAATACTTCCAGTGTTTCTAAGGCATGCACCTGTTATATTATAAAAAAAAATGGTTGATTCATCATGCTACTGCACCCAAGACATAATGATGAAAATGACATACCATAATGTAAGTGACTGCCTTTGGATCAATGTTGGCAAAGAAGTGTATGCCTGTAAGCCAGTTTGTAACACGAGTTGATGAGGATGCAGAGTTGTCTTCCTGAGCATGGTGTGCCATGAGACGAATACAATGACTGTGCTCACACAGCATGAGAGCATCCAGCAGGAACTTTCTGCATGATAAACCATGATGTTATAAAGGAACTGTGCACAATCAAAATGTCACAATATACAAATTATTTTATTATGAAAAACAAACTAATAAAAACCTAATAAGAAGAAAGGAAAAATAAGAGATAATATTTCTTCATCTATACCCAATGCATTTCCTTCTACACAAGATGACAATAAGCTAAAAAAAAAGGTATATAGTAATTTATTCCAGCCTCGAAAAACCTCCCTAGGTACCTGGAGTTTACCTGGAGAGAGTTCTGGGGGTCAACGCCCCCGTGCCCGGTCTGTGACCAGGCCTCCTGGTGGATCAGAGCCTGATCAACCAGGCTGTTACTGCTGGCTGCACGCAAACCAACGTACGAGCCACAGCCCGGCTGGTCAGGTACCGACTTTAGGTGCTTGTCCAGTGCCAGCTTGAAGACTGCCAGGGGTCTGTTGGTAATCCCCCTTATATATGCTGGGAGGCAGTTGAACAAGTCTCGGTACAGGAGGTTTTGTGGGCAAGGGGCTTGGACTTCCAGCAAGCATGCCTGAGCATGTTAGATAGGAGTGAATGAAGACGAATGGTATTTGGGACCTGACGAGCTGTTGGAGTGTGAGCAGGGTAATATTTAGTGAAGGGATTCAGGGAAACTGGTTATTTTTATATAGCCGGACTTGAGTCATAATGGGAAGTACAGCTGCCTTTAGGAGGGGTTGGATATGGCAGTTTGGAGGGATATGTTGTGTATCTTTATACTTGAATTGGCAGCCTCACCATGCCTTACCACACTGTGTATGCCACTATGATTCTTAAATCTTTCAAACCAACCTTTGCTATCCTTAAATTCACTCACATCACCACTAGTTGCAGGCAATTTCTTTACCAAATCATCATGCACTTCGACACATGCACTCCACTTTCGTACTTTGCAATTATCTCTTTCTTCATTTCAATAGTCATTAGCACCTAAATTGTTATCTGTGTACAACAATGTTTTTACCACTGAATATATCATTACTTAGTTAATCTTAAGTTAATTTTAAGCCTGCCCATAATGCTCTGCATACAAGGGGCTTTGGCATGTTGCACTGTACTTCACTGTATCATGTTCAAATTAATAAATAAATAAATAAAAAATAAATAAATATGCTTCTAAACTATTGTATTCTGAGACCTCTGCAAAAACAGTGATTATGTGTGAGTGAGGTGAAAGTGTTGAATGATGATGAAAGTATTTTCTTCTTGGAGATTATCTTTCTTTTTGGGTCACCCTGCCTCGGTGGGAGACAGCCGATTTGTTAAAAAAAAAAAAAAAAGTGTATCAGCTGCAATTATGGAAAAAATTAGTGACGGGACCTGGGACTGACCACTATTTATTCCACACTGGATATCATGCTGCAATAATGTTTGCTGATGAGCCCATCGCCATAAACTTTACAGTCTGTATTATGATTAAGATCCTGTACAGGACATCAAGTGTTATCATACTGGATGTTATAGTATTTTATCAGAGTGACCGGGTGTGGATGTGTGACGTTTGAAGAGGTAGATCATGGTAATGAATATGATATTGTGTATATGGACTTCAGTAAGGCTTTCGATAGAGTTCCACATCAGAGGCTATTGAGGAAACTTAAGGCACACAGAATAGGAGGAAATTATTTTTCCTGGGTAGAGGCATGGCTGACAAATAGGCTGCAGAGAGTTTGCATAAATGGGGATAAATCAGAATGGGGGCACGTCACAAGCGGTGTTCCTTAGGGGTCAGTGCTGGGCCTGTTGTTGTTCACAATTTACATAAATGACATAGATGAGGGAATAAATAGCAACATAAGCAAATTTGCTGATGACACCAAAATAGGTTGTCCAATTCATTCTAATGAGAACACTAGAGCACTCCAGGATGATTTGAATAGACTGATGCAATGGTCGGAGAAGTGGCAGATGCAGTTTAATATTGACAAATGCAAAGTTCTAAATGTTGGACAGGTAAATAACCATGCCACATATAATGAATATGTCATGAAAATCCTTAGGTAGCCTGTGCATTTTGGTCTTATTTTGATCTATGTACTAAATTCCTTTGTTTATCTAACTGAACTGAACACTACTGTCAAAACAGTCTAACAGTCAGTGTATACATTGACTATTAGACTACCTTACAAGGTACCATCAAGCCTACTTTAACCTATGTTAGGAACCTTGATAGTACTTTGTTAATAAATCCAAGGAGCAAGGCATGGGTGATGGCACCTGGCTAGATTAATAGTGTGAGAAAGGGATCAGTTTAATGCATTTATACAGTGGTACCTTGGGTTATGAACAGCTCAAAACTTGAACAATTACATAAGTGTATTTATGTAAGTGCTTTTGTAAGTGTACTTTTGGGGGTCTGAAACAGACTAATCTAATTTACATTATTTCTTATGGGAACAATTTCGTTCGGTATCAGCACTCGAACAGCCGTCTGGAATGAAAAAAGTTTGTACCCTGAGGTACTACTGAATATGTATTACAATAGACTATGGCAACTTCCCTTCCAGGGATTTTTGTTTGCTGTTGTATGTATGTTTTTGGGAGAGACTGCATGTAGTGCTGTAAGGAGAGCACTGTAATGCAATGTTTGTTATTTCCATTATAAAAAGTAGCTTTTATCATTAACTGCACACAACTGTTTGGATCATAATTCTATTTGGTGCATTCTGAAGGAAACTGAGTTCATGCTTCATATGTATAAATACTTTTTTATAAATACTATTAAAAGAGCAAACTGTATTTATGATAATAATAGTTTAATTATTTTTCTTACTGGAAATATTAGCAAATTAATGCTAATTACATGTTGTGAACATATTTTGGGAGTTTGGTCAATCATGGCTGGACCACAACAATGTAACATTACACTTACAAAGAAAATAAACCTGGCACTGTCTTCCCAACATGTTTTTTGCATGGGCATTTTGCCACTGTGTAGTGTTGCTTAGGGAGTTGATTGTATGTGTTGGCTAGGATGAGTAACTTCATCACAATATTACACAATATTGCTTCCAAAGTCTAACCCAATGATACTGCCACTACTACCCCTAAATACTCAATAACTCTAACAACTTCTAACCAATGCCATTGCATTTAAACCAGTCCAAACAGTTCTACTTAAATTCATTCCACTCCATTAAAATGGAATGGATACAAGTAGTAAGCCTTATGATTAGTTTGCCTGAAATGCACTTACATAATTTGTGGCTTTCTTCTGATTCTTACATTGCATCAAATTATATCTGTATTATAATAAGACCAAACTCAAAATGTAGTCACATTGTATGTATAACTACTGTATTTTCATTTTAATATACTAATATAATATGGCATAGTCTATTGCATTATAGGGGATGAATCACACTGACAGATTAATGATTAAGGCAAGGCCCAGGAGGTGGAATTCATTCCCTAAAAACACTTAACTAGATAAGCACAGCTAGGCAAATAAAGTCTACTAATACAAATACAAATACCATTAATACTATAATATAATGTTTTAACACACCAGCCGTCTCCCACTGAGCCAGGGTTATGTACAGCATTTCCTGCAGCTTGGATTAATTTTGTTCCCCAGGATGTGACTCATACCAGTCAGCTAACACCCAGGTACCTACTTTCTGCTAGGTGAACAGGGACAGCGGGTGTCTTAAGGATCACTCAAAAAAGAAGAAATGCTTTCATAAAGTTTTTCTTCTTTTAACATTTAATAATTTATACAAGAAATAGCAAGCATCGAAATTAAGCTTAAGGAAACCTAAAGGAATCTTATAGGAGTCAGGAATCGCGGAAAGAACTAAAAGCCATAAATGAAATCAAAAGAAACCCAAAGTATTTCTTTTCCTATGCTAAATCAAAGTCGAGAACAACGTCCAGTATTGGGCCCTACTTAAACAAGATGGGTCCTATACAGATGACAGCAAGGAAATGAGTGAGCTTCTGAAGTCCCAATATGACTCAGTTTTTAGCAGGCCACTAACCAGACTGAGAGTCGAAGATCAAAATTAATTTTTTATGAGAGAGCCACAGAATTTGGTTAACACAAGCCTATCTGATGTTATCCTGATGCCAAATGACTTTGAACAGACGATAAATGACATGCCCATGCACTCTGCCCCAGGGCCAGACTCATGGAACTCTGTGTTCATCAAGAACTGCAAGAAGCCCCTATCACGAGCTTTTACCATCCTATGGAGAGGGAGCATGGACACGGGGGTCGTCCCACAGTTATTAAAAACAACAGACATAGCCCCACTCCACAAAGGGGGCAGTAAAGCAATAGCAAAGAACTACAGACCGATAACACTAACATCCCATATCATAAAAATCTTTGAAAGGGTCCTAAGAAGCAAGATCGCCACCCATCTAGAAACCCATCAATTACACAACCCAGGGCAACATGGGTTTAGAACAGGTCGCTCCTGTCTGTCTCAACTATTGGATCACTACGACAAGGTCCTAGATGCACTAGAAGACAAAAAGAATGCAAATGTAATATATACAGACTTTGCAAAAGCCTTCGACAAGTGTGACCATGGCGTAATAGTGCACAAAATGCGTGCTAAAGGAATAACAGGAAAAGTTGGTCGATGGATCTTTAATTTCCTCACAAACAGAACACAAAGAGTAGTAGTCAACAGAGTCAAGTCCGAGGCAGTTACGGTGAAAAACTCTGTTCCACAAGGCACAGTACTCGCTCCCATCTTGTTCCTCATCCTCATATCTGACATAGACAAGGATGTCAGCCACAGCACTGTGTCTTCCTTTGCAGATGACACCCGAATCTGCATGACAGTGTCTTCCATTGCAGACACTGCAAGGCTCCAGGCGGACATCAACCAAATCTTTCAGTAGGCTGCAGAAAACAATATGAAGTTCAACGATGAGAAATTTCAATTACTCAGATATGGTAAACACGAGGAAATTAAATCTTCATCAGAGTACAAAACAAATTCTGGCCACAAAATAGAGCGAAACACCAACGTCAAAGACCTGGGAGTGATCATGTCGGAGGATCTCACCATCAAGGACCATAACATTGTATCAATCGTAGCTGCTAGAAAAATGACAGGATGGATAATGAGAACCTTCAAAACTAGGGATGCCAAGCCCATGATGACACTCTTCAGGTCACTTGTTCTATCTAGGCTGGAATATTGCTGCACACTAACAGCACCTTTCAAGGCAGGTGAAATTGCTGACCTAGAAAATGTACAGAGAACCTTCACGGCGTGCATAATGGAGATAAAACACCTCAATTACTGGGAGCGCTTGAGGTTCCTGAACTTGTATTCCCTGGAAGGCAGGCGGGAGAGATACATGATTATATACACCTGGAAAATCCTAGAGGGACTAGTACCGAACTTGCACACGAAAATCACTCACTACGAAAGCAAAAGACTTGGCAGACGATGCAACATCCCCCCAATGAAAAGGAGGGGTGTCACTAGCATGTTAAGAGACCATACAATAAATTTCAGGGGCCCGAGACTGTTCAACTGCCTCCCAGCATACATAGGGGGATTACCAATAGACCCCTGGCAGTCTTCAAGCTGGCACTGGACAAGTACCTAAAGTCGGTACCTGACCAGCCAGGCTGTGGCTCGTACGTTGGTTTGCGTGCAGCCAGCAGTAACAGCCTGGTTGATCAGGCTCTGATCCACCAGGAGTCCTGGTCACAGACCGGGCCGCGGGGGCGTTGACCCCTGGAACTCTCTCCAGGTAAACTCCAGGTAAACAAGAGCATTACAAGATAGGTTAACATCATTAATTCTTTAAGTGGGAAAAACCCATAGCTATGCAAAACATTTTAATAATTTAAATTCTCTATACAACAACTACCCTTTGCATTTCCACCTCTGCAACCTGTTCATCTCTTTCTACCAGTGTAACTGTACTTCACATGTCATTTCCTTTTGACAAACATTCACAATTTTAAATATGGAAAAATAAGAGAGAAAAACATTCCAAATAAAACAATTCTTTGGTTGTAATGATGTAAAAATATCAGAGCTTTATAGCATACCTATAGCCTTCCTTAGCATTGTATGTATCCCAGATATCAACCAGCTCCTCCTCTTGAGTGAAGCGTCCCAGGAGGTTAACAAGATTAGAGAATGCATGAGGTCGCTGCAGTTCTAGATCTGAATTCACAGTCACTGATGATGAAAGGATCTCTAGTGCTGAATCAACCTGATGGTAATAAAATGTTAAGATTATTACTGCCATGACTTCATTCCAACTGCTGCTGTCTAAAGTTCTGCATTATTAATATGAAATGAAAACAATGTTAAAATAAGTTAACAGCAAATATTTCAAAGACCTAACAATTTGGAAATTCAATCCTGTACAAAAAAATGCATGCTACCATTGGAGGTTCCCAGCATCACAAACTATACACTGAGTACATGAACTAGGACATGGGAGGCAAAACATTATTATAGCTTATAACTTTTATCAATACATGTACATGTATATACTTTCCTAAAGAATGTTATTTGAATATTTAACCCTTTCATTAATAACAAAATACAGATACTACTGATTTTATAATACTGTGGGCCTACTTATTCTATTATCTTCACTCTAATGTGTGACATTTACTTACATTATCATTTATTAACCTATAAACTTACTTGTTCTCTAAGATTATCACCTTGAAGATTCCTTGATCTATCAGAGTAGACAGCTCCTTTAAGATCCATGATGAGTGAATCTCTTTTTTGTTGATAGCCATCTGAAAATGATTTGTATGAGATAGATTAAGGTTTACATTTTTTTTCAAACAATTATTAAGACTATTAATATATTTTTAAATACAATGTAGTCATGTACACAATACAACAAAAATTACTGTAAGATAGCACAACACAAACTGTTAGATGATGAGGACAATGAGAAGGTATCTATGTTACAATCTTCAAACTTCTGCAGTTGAAAAAGAGAATAAGTAACAGGGAAATGGGGGAACCCAGACTATTAAATTAGTTACGAATAGTATTTCTGGTAACCAATAAAAGCATCATTACACTAATAATTTTGCATTTGTAAAGAAATGCATCATATTTTTTAATAAAATATAGAATTATTACTATGCTTACACTTGGAAAAATTTCCCTGCGATGCTTCAGGTCCTGTTTGAAGGCTGAGACTGGAAGAAACTGTGACAGATGCTAGAGAGAGGTCTGGGTGAGATGCTGTGAAGAGGCCATCTACTTTCATTTCTTCCATACATTCCACATGGCCCCAAACACCTGCACGAAGATGCATCTGGCACGTCTGGTTACGTCTAGATATCGATAAATCCAATGAGTAATTAATCTCTGGAGATGACTTCAGGTTAGAGTTAAGAATATATGAGCCACATGTACAAACACCAATCTCATTTTATAAGAAAGTAATACTAGACTATTGGCCCTGTTATGAAATAACAGGGCCAATAGTCTAGTACAGTGGACCCCTGATATTCGATGGCATCGGTATTCGATAAATCCGGTATTCAATGCATTATATCGCAAAAAATTTGCCTCGGTATTCGATTGAAAACCCAGTATTCGATACGATTTGTAAGAGACATGTCCACGTGTGGCCTGAACTGCCCCGTGTGTGCCAGTGTTTACAAGCCAGCCAGTGTGCATGCATCTAAGGATACATTCGGTACATTCCATATTATCACTGTGTTTGGTGCTTGTTTCTGCAAAATAAGTCACCATGGGCCCCAAGAAAGCTTCTAGTGCCAACCCTTCGAGAAAAAAGGCGCTAATGACTCATGAAATGAAGAAAGAGATAATTGCAAAGTATGAAAGTGGAGTGCGTGTGTCGGAGCTGGTCAGGTTGTATAATAAACCCCAATCAACCATCTCTACTATAGTGACCAGGAAAAAGGCAATCAAGGAAGCTGTTCTTGCAAAAAGTGCAACTGTGATTACGAAACAGCGACTGCAAGTGCTAGAAAATGTTGAGAGACTGTTATTGGTGTGGATAAATGAAAAACAGATAGCAGGAGATAGCATCTCTCGAGTGATCATTTGTGAAAAGGCTAGGCAGTTGCATGACGATTTGGTAAAGAAATTGCCTGCAACTAGTGCTGATGTGAGTGAATTTAAGGCCAGCAAAGGTTGGTTTGAAAGATTTAAGAATCGTAGTGGCATACATAGTGTGATTAGGCATAGTGAGGCTGCCAGTTATGTTGTGCGACAGAAGTCCAGTGACTCTCAAGCTGGTCCTAGTGGCATTAAAAGAACAAGGGAAGTAACCCCGGAAAAGGACTTGCTACCTCAAGTCCTAATGGAAGGGGATTCCCCTTCTAAACACTAACCAATGGAAATAAGTCACTCTGTCTGACTTTTTTGGGTTATCATAGGTTATCTACACATATGCTGCTATGTATGATAATTCTATGTAACTGTATTTGTGTATACCTGAATAAACTTACTTATAACACCTCTCCCCTCCTCCCATCCCATCAATCATCACAAGATCTTCATTAAAGGTAAGCGTCAATTATTTTATTGTTATTGTAATTATTCTATTGCATTAAACTTAATATTTCATGTAGTAAAATTTTCTTTTTTCATACTTTTGGGTGTCTTGCATGGATTAATTTGATTTCCATTATTTCTTATGAGGAAAATTGATTCGCTTTTCGATATTTTCAGTATTCAATGAGCTCTCAGGAACGGATTAATATCGAATACCGGGGTCCACTGTATCAGCAGAAAATTGGGAAATAAGATAACATAAGAAAAAACATAGGTATTATTCAGAAAATAAAAAGGGAAGACAAAAATAGGAAAATAGTATATTGTTATTACTTGGAAGGACAATGTAACATAAGGAAAATGTTGTAAAGAAAGTAGACACAAATAAGTAAAAGGCTTCCTAATTTACTTTTTCCACAACAGTGCTTTCATGAGTGTTGAGGTCATGTGGTCTTCAAACAATCTGAACTTCCTAATTAACATAAGCATTATACAGCAATTGGACTCACCTGAAGAAAGGAAGTTGAAGCTTGAAGTCATCTGTAGAGTAGTGAGAGTAGGGGACGTTAGGTAGGTAGCCATTTGATTGACAATTGTGCTTAGTTTTGGTAACAATCAGGTCATTCTGGTTTTTCACAGTGTATCTAGTCTTGCACATCCCAGACACATCACCCTATAACAAAAATTTCCTACAGTTGGAAATACAGAATTTCACAATCCAAAAATCTATTGGCTTTTCTGAGCATCTTTAAATACAGAATAATAACCCACATGGAGACAGAAACTCAGGAGATTAATTGATCTGTATATTTTGACCCCCTTCTGGGATCCTCTTTCTCATCTGCTGAAGAGGAACCCAGAAGTGGGTTGGAATATACAGATCAATTAATCTCCTGAGTTTCTGTCTCCATGTGGGTTATTACTGAACACAGAATATATATATATTATTATTATGATCAAAAAGAAGTGCTAAACCACAAGAGCTATACAGCAAAGAATATATATATATAGTATAGTTCTTCACATCTCTCATAAACATCATAAATTATGAAAGTATATCACTGACCTCATCTACAATAACTTCTTTCATATCTGCAACATCAGTTATTGTTGTCTGGAGAGCAGAGAGAACTCCACGCTTAAAATTTGTGGCAATAACATCTTCCTCATCATGAGGACATAAGTGTGCCACTCTTCCTTCCTGATAACTAGTGCCAAGGGTGAGGGTGAAAAGAGAGGTAACTTAGTTTATTTGTAAATGAACATTCAAGTTCAAATTTTTATTTCTTCTTTATGCTATCTAAGGGTCCTGTGGTCTGTATGAAATGAAACTTTGTTAGGCACTAGTTTGTAAATGCATTTTGGGCAAACTAACCATTATGCTTAAAGACTACTATTTAAGAATTAGATATAGATTATTAAGAGGGTTTGTTTTATTTAAAATAATGTTAGAGAACATATTCAATTCTTGTCATAACCTAGTAATATGCCAAGTAGATTTGGGTACCACATAATTGTACCCTAAATATTTTAATAAACTTTTCTAAAGACTTGTAAAATTTTTCATATATAAATAAATATAAAATTAAAATGTGTATAGGGTACAAGGGAAAATCAGCATAAAAAACTGACATGTTGAATTTGTGCCATACAGAAAATCAAGGATAAATAAATAAATAAATAATATATATATATACATGTATATATAATATATATATATAATATATATATATATATATATATATATATATATATATATATATATATATATATATATTCACCATGGGGAAGAGGAACAGAATTCTTCCTCCGTAAGCTATGCGTGTTTGTAAGAGGCGACTAAAATGCCAGGAGCAAGAGGCTAGTAACCCCTTCTCCTGTATAAATTACTAAATTATAAAAAGAGAAACTTTTGTTTTTCTTTTTGGGCACCCTGCCTTGGTGGGATACGGCTGGTTTGTTGAAAAAAAAAAATTATATATATATATATATATATATATAATATATATTTATATATATATATATATATATATAATATATATATATATATTTTTATAATATAGGGAAGTACCACCTCTATAGCTGGAAAGGGGACCCTCATCTCAGAGAAGACAATAAACGTACCTCAGAGAAAACTCAAGGTTCTCCCCGGAGCTGTTTGAATATTTTCTCTCCTACCACCCCTATATGTTTTCTAATTCTATGTGAACATTTATTAATAAACAAATACATATATATAAATATATAACAATATATATATATATATATATATATATATTATATATATATATATATATATATATATATATTAATATAATATATATACACGATATATATATATATGCAAGGAATTCGCGAGAGCAGGCGAAATATACACAAACACTGATCTCTGAATTCAAGTTTAAAATTTACAGAAAACCTACAAATAACTGTTCTATGTACACTATTATTCTTCCCATCAAGATAGAGTTGAACTGTCTGTTTTCTCATCAATGTTTTTGAGAGCTTTGCGTATTTGTAGTCCAGAGTTCAAAGATGAAGAAATATCCAAAATTTATGAAATAGCCATTGATCTGAAATTCCCGAAAAAGTAATTGATAAAAAATTTAAAAAATTGCTAGAAATCTTTTTAAAACCCAAAAAGGGACAACCAAACTTTATTCAATAAAAATTGTTGGTTCCCCTTACCATGAAAACTTGGTTGATATGCCTTCTTTTCTTAAGACTTTTATTTTAAAAGTTGTTTTAAAAAAATTTGTACAGAAAAAAAAATTTTTCGATAAAAAATTTCCCCCCCAAAATGCTGACGGATTGTCTATAAGATTCCTTGAAAAAAATTTGTGAAAAATTTTTATTCGGTAAAAATGGAAAAAATCTCGAACTTGTTAAAACAAATTAAATATAGATTAGAACTGGAAAAAGATTCCGCTCTATTTATTATGTAGAGATTTTAACCATCGAATTGTTTTTAAAAAAAATTTTAAAGAAATTGTTCAAGCAAGCCCAGGGTTGACAAAATAATTAAATTTTTTCATAAAAAAGAGTTTTGAAATAATATGAATTTTTCCCTTGGTTTTTATAAATTGATCATTTATAAATAAAAAAATTTGGGTTATTTTAATATACATTGGACAAATAATAACCCTTATTTTTGGGTGAATTTTTTGTTAGGGGATGTCGTGGGACCGTCTATTTGGGACCGGGGGGCCTACTGCAGTGTTCCTTTTTTCTTTTGAGTCCGGTATTGTCGCGCAAGGTGTTTCTTTGTTGTGGGGGTTGACTGTGGGGTGTTTTAAAGCCCTTTTAATTCCCTTTCCTTTGATGTATTTTTCATGTTCCTTGACAAAAATGAGTAGTCCGGAAAGCGCTTGGAATTTTACTACTCTTTCCCCGTGTTTGTTTTGCATAATAAATATATTATATTTATATATATATTTTTTATTTATATATTTATATTATTATATAATATATTATATATATATATTTATTTATTATATATTATTTTTTTATTATTATTATAAAGGGGAAGCGCCCAAACCCGGAGGGTTATACAGCACTTGGGGGGGGGATGTGGGAAGGCATTCAGGCTTAATTCGGGGAACTGGACACAGATAAATTTCCCAAATCAAGAGCCCCTCACCAACATAAGGAAACTACCCTTGAGGGGATATATTATATATAAACCTTCTAAAAAAAAAAATGGGAATTCAAAAATAAAACTTTTTGTTTGCGGGTTGTTGGTTATTGGATTTTGGCGCCTGTAGAGACAGTGTGGGGAAAGGGTTTTTAGGGTTAATTCAGGGAACTGGGGACGATCCAATTCCTAGAAGAGCCCCCACCGTCAATGAAACTTTCCCTTTAGGGGCGTTTGGTTTTTCAGTTTGCATAAAATTAGTTAGTTTAGGTAAGGTTTGTCAGGACCCAGGAAGATTTCTTGATGGGGTCTTAGTCAATGAGGCCTGCAGCTGGATCCTTTGGTCTTGACTATGCCTTCACTGGTTTCCCTTATATAATGGGGGAGCGCTAAACCCCTGGGGATTACACAGGTCTGGGGGGGGGGGGGTCCCCTCTGCGAGGGGGGGGGGCAGTGCCCTAGGTTTTTTAAATTTAATATTTTTTATAAAACCGGATCCATTGCGAAGTGGAGAGGTAGTCTGGATAATCAGCCCCTCAGCCTTTTTGAAAGATATTAAATTCTCTTGACCAGGGCAAATGCACGAGGCTAGTCTTATTTTGTAAAGTGAGGTGTGGCAGCTTGGGGACCTAGTCCCAAGCTATTGCCTTCATTTTCCCCCTCACAAGATGGCTTCTGCATTGCTTTTTCCCCCCCTCTACCAGATAAGCGCTTGGGGAGCATTATTGGTCGTTATCAACGCGTTTTGGGGGTTCATAACCTCAGCGCATATCGTCGAGCAACGAAAAAAGGAGTGGTGCGTCCACTGTGAGAGATAGTTGAGCTTCACTTACACAACCTGTTGCACAGCCCTGCCACGGGGCCCCCAGTAAAGACCGGGGAAAAACCCGGAGGACAGGGCACACACCTTGTGGTTTTCCCAGTCAAAAACCCCGAGATTGTTGCTGTTGATCTCGCCAGCCCCCCGCCGCCCAATAAAAACCGTATACACCCCCAGGGTACCACTGCCGGGGTCACCACTAAAGACCGGGCCAAGACCCGGGCAAACCCTACCTGCATTTGTAATTTGCTTTAGGTGAAAGATTGACTTTCTTCCGTGTCTCACTTCGGCTACGTCTTCAACAAAACTGAGAGATGCATTACCTCAAACTACATTTTCACTTCGATTAATGTATCTAGGATTGCAATTCGTTTCTGTAGCCGATTGATGAAGCCTGCATGCAGACAAAACGTTTAAAACCCTTTTTTAAGGGGGGGAAATTTCCCAATTTTTTGAGATAAAGTCTGGCTTTGGGGCCTAATCCGTGGACCCATTATGTACCTCTGCAGTCCTTTGACTACCTCCCACAGGATTGGTATGGGGTGCATAATAGAGATATTAAACTCAAACAACTAACTGATAAAATCTGGCACATTCTAAACATTTTCGACTCGTGCGACTTCTCATAACTTTCACAAGCTTTTGTTCTGAGTGACTGAATGTGAGTTTATAGTCATTATTGCTACTAACGAGGGATTTTGTGCCACTCCTAGGCCTAGAACGACACTGCTTCACATCTCAACTACTCACTTCCCTCGGGAAGAAACTACGGCTTTTTGAGTGGTTACTTAAAGATGATGAGGAGGTCCTCTGGAAATAAGTCACTCTGTCTGACTTTTTTGGGTTATCCTAGGTTCTCTACACATATGCTGCTATGTATGATAATTCTATGTAACTGTATTGTGTATACCTGAATAAATTTACTTACTTACTTACTTACTTACTTACTCTGTTAGAGGCTTAGTCTATTTCGTGTACACTTGAAAGGCTCTAATTTGGCCTAAAAAACAGTAACACTATAATGTTACTTGTCCAAAAATGGACAAGTATTTACCTGAAGTGTAAATAAATTGTACAGTACTTTTTTAAGGCGTAAATAAATCTTACAGTACTTACCTGAAGTGTAAATCATACTGCTGTATAACTTCCCTGAACCACTTAGAATCTTCATCTGAAACATCTTCTACGGCCAAACTGACGATCTAATAAAGAAAAACAATAAAATAAAATTAATTATTGATGAGGGGAAAAGGGTGAGTGATGCACTTTAGGAGTCTGTGGAGACAATGAACTTTGTCCTTGGAGGCAAAGAGGGAAATGTATGAGAGTATAGTTTTACCAACGCTCTTATATGGGTGTGAAGCATGGGTGATGAATGTTGCAGCGAGGAGAAGGCTGGAGGCAGTGGAGATGTCATGTCTGAGGGCAATGTGTGGTGTGAATATAATGTAGAGAATTCGTAGTTTGGTAGTTAGGAGGAGGTGCGGGATTACCAAAACTGTTGTCCAGAGGGTTGAGGAAGGGTTGTTGAGGTGGTTCGGACATGTAGAGAGAATGGAGCGAAACAGAGTGACTTCAAGAGTGTATCAGTCTGTAGTGGAAGGAAGGCGGGGTAGGGGTCGGCCTAGGAAAGGTTGGAGGGAGGGGGTAAAGGAGGTTTTGTGTGCGAGGGGCTTGGACTTCCAGCAGGCATGCGTGAGCGTGTTTGATAGGAGTGAATGGAGGCAAATGGTTTTTAATACTTGACGTGCTGTTGGAGTGTGAGCAAAGTAACATTTATGAAGGGATTCAGGGAAACCGGCAGGCCGGACTTGAGTCCTGGAGATGGGAAGTACAGTGCCTGCACTCTGAAGGAGGGGTGTTAATGTTGCAGTTTAAAAAATTGTAGTGTAAAGCACCCTTCTGGCAAGACAGTGATGGAGTGAATGATGGTGAAAGTTTGTCTTTTTCGGGCCACCCTGCCTTGGTGGGAATCGGCCAATGTGATAAAAAAAAAATTATTGGTATAATTACCAACGATATGTTTCGTTTGAGTGGTTTGAGCTCAGGGGCAGTGCCTTTTCTTCTAGAAGGGGCACCACTCTCCACACAGGTGGAGCCGGGGCAAAAGACCCGATGGTCAGGAAGAACACATTTATCCTAACTAATCTAGCATCACTTTTAGCATAAATAGTGGGGATCATAGAGACACTTATGCAACATATGGGAATCTTTATTGGCAACAAAATATAGTTACAATAATTTAGCTCACCTGCATTTTGAGGTCGCATAGTGTGTTGGCTGTAATGATGACGTCAGCTTTGACAGACATTCTCGACTCCTCGCTACTAGTCACTAGTGCCTTAGTAAGTACTTGTCCTTCATACTTGTATTTGTACTGCATTCCTGCCTCGTACCTCACTCCACCTTCGGCCTCATCTGAACATAATTTATTAAAAAGCTAGGTTAGGTAAGATTGGTCAGGGAACAGGACAGGTGTTTCCTTGACGCGGATCTTAGTCATATGGCGACCTGCCATTGGAGATTTTAGTTATCTGAGCGAGGCCTTCCACTGGCTTACCAGTCCACCCCTTTAAAAACTAAGGTTATAATTATAACAATTTTAATAGTTAATAAAAAGCAGAGGCAGGTAGATTACCACAAGGGATAACTACTTTAATCTCTAAAATAGGGATTTAAGTAAACTCGCAGCAAATATACACTAAGAGATATTTTAATATTCGTAGTCTAATATATATATATATATATATATATATATATATATATATATATATATATATATATATATATATATATATAATATATATATATATATATATATATATATATATATATATATATATATATATATATGCAGAACAACCATTGTGAAAAAATAGTGAAATTTCAAGTGATTTCGTGACTTCTCATATTATCAAGGAACTATGAAGAGCAAAACATCAGCAGGAAGGCATATAAGGGCAAGATACACCTCACAGTCACATCACAATAATAATATGAATATTTCTTTTGGTTTATATAAATTACTCATTTATAATTAATAAAATTTGGGAAGAATTTAATGATAGGTTAGACAAGGAAAAAAATCTTAATGCTTGGGTAGAATATCAGTTGTGTTACACAGAGTCGGGTGTTATCACGTGACTGTGAGGTGTACCTGGAGTTTACCTGGAGAGAGTTCCGGGGGTCAACGCTCCCGCGGCCCGGTCTGTGACCAGGCCTCCTGGTGGATCCGAGCCTGATCAACCACGCTGTTATTGCTGGCTGCACGCAAACCAACGTACGAGCCACAGCCCGGCTGGTCAGGTACCGACTTTAGGTGCTTTTCCAGTGCCAGCTTGAAGATTGCCAGGGGTCTATTGGTAATCCCCCTTATGTATGCTGGGAGGCAGTTGAACAGTCTCGGGCCCCTGACACTTATTGTATGGTCTCTTAACGTGCTAGTGACACCCCTGCTTTTCATTGGGGGGATGTTGGATCGTCTGCCAAGTCTTTTGCTTTCGTAGTGAGTGATTTTCGTGTGCAAGTTCGGTACTAGTCCCTCTAGGATTTTTCAGGTGTATGTAATCATGTATCTCTCCCGCCTGCGTTTCAGGGAATACAGGTTCAGGAACCTCAAGCGCTCCCAGTAATTGAGGTGTTTTATCTCCGTTATGCGCGCCATGAAGGTTCTCTGTACATTTTCTAGGTCAGCAATTTCACCTGCCTTGAAAGATGCCGTTAGTGTGCAGCAATATTCCAGCCTAGATAGAACAAGTGACCTGAAGTGTCATCATGGGCTTGGCATCCCTAGTTTTGAAGGTTCTCATTATCCATCCTGTCATTTTTCTAGCAGATGCGATTGATACAATGTTATGGTCCTTGAAGGTGAGATCCTCCGACATGATCACTCCCAGGTCTTCGACGTTGGTGTTTCGCTCTATTTTGTGGTCAGAATTTGTTTTGTACTCTGATGAAGATTTAATTTCCTCGTGTTTACCATATCTGAGTAATTGAAATTTCTCACCGTTGAACTTCATATTGTTTTCTGCAGCCCACTGAAAGATTTGGATGATGTCCACCTGGAGCCTTGCAGTGTCTGCAATGGAAGACACTGTCATGCAGATTCGGGTGTCATCTGCAAAGGAAGACACGGTGCTGTGGCTGACATCCTTGTCTATGTCAGATATGAGGATGAGGAACAAGATGGGAGCGAGTACTGTGCCTTGTGGAACAGTTTTTCACCGTAGCTGCCTCGGACTTTACTCTGTTGACTACTACTCTCCGTGTTCTGTTAGTGAGGAAATTATAGATCCATCGACCAACTTTTCCTGTTATTCCTTTAGCACGCATTTTGTGCGCTATTACGCCATTGTCAGACTTGTCGAAGGCTTTTGTAAAGTCTGTATATATTACATCTGCATTCTTTTTGTCTTCTAGTGCATCTAGGACTTTGTCGTAGTGATCCAATAGTTGAGACAGACAGGAGCGACCTGTTCTAAACCCATGTTGCCCTGGGTTGTGTAATTGATGGGTTTCTAGATGTGTGGCGATCTTGCTTCTTAGGACCCTTTCAAAGATTTTTATGATATGGGATGTTAGTGCTATCCGTCTGTAGTTCTTTGCTATTGCTTTACTGCCCCCTTTGTGGAGTGGGGCTACGTCTGTTGTTTTTAGTAACTGTGGGACGACCCCCGTGTCCATGCTCCCTCTCCATAGGATGGTAAAAGCTCGTGATAGGGCTTCTTGCAGTTCTTGATGAACACGGAGTTCCATGAGTCTGGCCCTGGGGCAGAGTGCATGGGCATGTCATTTATCGCCTGTTCGAAGTCATTTGGCGTCAGGATAACATCAGATAGGCTTGTGTTAACCAAATTCTGTCGCTCTCTCATAAAAATTAATTTTGATCTTCGACTCTCAGTCTGGTTAGCGGCTTGCTAAAAACTGAGTCATATTGGGACTTGAGTAGCTCACTCATTTCTTTGCTGTCATCTGTGTAGGACCCATCTTGTTTAAGTAGGGGCTCAATACTGGATGTTGTTCTCGACTTTGATTTGGCATAAGAAAAGAAATACTTTGGGTTTCTTTCGATTTCATTTATGGCTTTTAGTTCTTCCCGCGATTTCTGACTCCTATAAGATTCCTTTAGCTTAAGTTCGATGCTTGCTATTTCTCTGACCAGTGACTCCCTACGCATTTCAGATATATTGGCCTCTTTTAGCCGCTCTGTTATTCTTTTCCGTTGCCTGTAAAGGGAGCGCCTGTCTCTTTGTTTTACATCTACTCCTCCTTTTTCTTAGAGGAATAAGCCTTGTGCATACATCGAGTGCCACCGAGTTAATCTGTTCTAGGCATAAGTTTGGGTCTCTGTTGCTTAGTCTATCTTCCCAGCTTATATCGGTTAGGACTTGGTTTACTTGGTCCCACTTTATGTTTTTGTTATTGAAGTTGAATTTGGTGAATGCTCCCTCGTGACTAATCTCATTATGTCGGTCTGGGGCTCCGGGCATACATGTCTGAACCTCAATTATGTTGTGATTTGAGTATATTGTTTTTGATATGGTGACATTTCGTATCAGATCATCATTGTTAGTGAAGATGAGGTCTAGTGTATTCTCCAGTCTAGAAGGCTCTATTATTTGCTGGTTTAAATTGAATTTTGTGCAGAGATTTAAAAGCTCGTGTGTGTGTAAGTTCTCGTCAGAGCTGCCTCCTGGTGTTATTACTGCAACAACATTATTTGCTATATTCCTCCATTTTAGGTGCCTTAAGTTGAAATCCCCCAGGAGCAAGATGTTGGGGGCAGGAGCTGGCAGATTTTCCAGACAGTGGTCAATTTTTAACACCTGTTCCTGGAATTGCTGGGACGTTGCATCCGGACGCTTGTAGACTACCACAATGACTAGGTTTTGGTTCTCGATCTTTACTGCTAAAACTTCCACTACATCATTTGAGGCATTAAGCAGTTCTGTGCAAACAAGTGACTCTGCGATGTACAGGCCAACCCCCCTCCTTTTGCCTGTTCACTCTGTCACATCTGTACAGGTTGTAACCTGGGATCCATATTTCGTTGTCCAAGTGATCCTTTATGTGGGTCTCTGTGAAAGCTGCGAACATTGCATTTGCCTCTGCAAGCAGTCCACGGATGAAAGGTATTTTGTTGTTTGTTGCTGGCTTTAGACCCTGTATATTTGCAAAGAAGAATGTCATCGGACTGGTGGTATTGTTGGTACTGGAGGGGGATTTTTTTTCCGGCATCAGTATCTGTATCTGCTGGTTTGGAGTGGAGGCCATCGACTGTGGTTCCACTCCAGGAATGACTGGATTTGGTGTACGATTTCTGCCATAGTCTTGTTGTTGTGACGTGACTGTGAGGTGTATCTTGCCTTTATATGCTTTTCTGTTGATGTTCTTTATAGTTTCTTGATAATGTGAGAAGTCACGAAAGCACCTGGAATTTCACTATTTTTTCATAGTGGTTGTTCTTCATGTTGTAATATCACCTGTTTACTGGGATTTTATTGCATGTATGTATACAGGCCATCTTTTAACTTTTGAATATTGAACTGCAGTTACATTATTTTGAAAGGCAAAATACAGTTTTTTTTTTTTTTGTAAAACACAAATCTGATTGCAAAAATATGTTTACTTACCTGTAGTTGTACAGGTGAGGGCACACACCGGATCAGCCTCTGGAAGTAAAAAAAAATAATATAAACTTCCAATCTCAATTGTTATTTTGTTTATAGTGATCAGATTATATCTAAGAGCAGTGGTGGATTTACCGATGAGTACTAAGTGGCCACTTACAGTGCTGACCACTGAGAGTACTAAGTGGCCACTTACAGTGTTGACCACTGAGAGTACTAAGAGGCCACTTACAGTGCTGACCACTGAGAGCACTAAGTGGCCACTTACAGTGCTGACCACTGAGAGAACTAAGTGGCCACTTACAGTGCTGACCACTGAGAGGACTAAGTGGCCACTTACAGTGCTGACCACTGAGAGCACTAAGTGGCCACTTAGTGGTCAGCACTGTAAGTGCTGACCACTAAGTGCTAACCACAGAGTACTAAGAGGCTACTAACATTGCTAACCACTGAAGGGACTCTCAGATCATTACCTATTTGTTTCTTAAGTCTTCGTGTGTCGCGCCCTTCCTTACCTGTAACATTTGACGGTTTGTGGTCACACCACCACAAATATTTTTGCATGGTATACAAACTATTTAAATTTTGAAATCAAAATGCAATTTTTTAGATTGTTTTCTCATTTTGTTGAATATTTATTTCTGAAAACTCAATATATATAACAACCCGGTCTGATCAGCGGCAGTTATTGAATTAATCACACATCTGGCTCTAATGTTAAAAGCTAATTTCCGTTAGTGCAATAGCCAACAGCCGGGGGAAGGGGGAGTCCCTGAGGCGCCCTAAATGTTATAATTTAGACACGTGCGACATTTGGGTATCTTTATTATGGAAATGTTTCGCCACACAGTGTCTTCACCAGTTCACTACAAAAAAGAATGAAGATAAGAAGGAATTTGAGGTAATCAGTCCCCAATTTAGACACATGTTGCACATGTGTCTAAATTATCAACTTGTCGGTTCTCTGGACCATTTATCTAAAACCCCTAAATGATGTTCTGTTTAGGGCCTCTGGCTCTTTATATTCGCCTCTAAGTTAGGCCCATTAAATATACTGTAACCTTATGCTATAGTCACACTTTATGAATGAAATAATGAACCATCCTAAGTAATTAGTGGTTCCTGTGTATAAAAAACTACAGACGTACTGGAAAGTCTGAAGTGGAACTCACAAATAATGCAGCTAAACTATTGAACATAAGAACATAAGAACGAAGGAACACTGCAGAAGGCCTACTGGCCCATGCGAGGCAGGTCCAAGTCCCTACCGGCTTAAGCCAATGCACCCAACCTAGTCAGGTCAGGTCACATTGACTTAAGGGAGGAACACGGCAACCGACCTGTTAGCACAAGCTATCAGGTCTAACTCACACCCACCCACATCTACTCATGTATTTATCCAACCTATTTTTAAAGCTACACAACGTTTCTGGCCTCTATAACGGTACTGGGAGTTTGTTCCACTCATCCACAACTCTATTACCAAACCAGTACTTTCCTATATCCCTCCTGAATCTGAATTTTTCCAACTTAAAACCATTGCTGCGAGTCCTGTCTAGGCTAGATATTTTCAGCACACTATTACATCCCCTTTATTTATTCCTGTCTTCCACTTATAAACCTCAATCATATCCCCCTAATTCTACGTCTTTCTAGAGAGTGCAGTTTCAGGGCCCTTAGTCTATCCTCATAGGGAAGGTTTCTGATACATGGGATCATCTTTGTCATCCTCCTTTGTACATTTTCCAGAGAATTTATATCCATTCTGTAATACGGTGACCAAAACTGTGCAGCATAATCTAAATGAGGCCTAACCAAGGATGTATAGAGTGAAGAACAACCTGAGGACTCCTATTATTTATGCTTCTTGATATGAAGCCAAGGATTCTATTAGCTTTATTGCGAACACTTATGCACTGTTGTCTTGGTTTCAGATTACTGCTAACCAGAACTCCTAAATCTTTTTCGCAATCCGTAATATTAAGATCTACATTATTTAGTTTATATGTGGCATGGTTATTGTCCTGTCCAACATTTAGAACTTTGCATTTGTCTATATTAAACTGCATCTGCCACTTCTCCGACCACTGCATCAGTCTATTCAAATCTTCCTGGAGTGCTCGAATGTCCTCGTCAGAATGAATTCGACGGCCTATTTTGGTGTCATCGGCAAACTTGCCGATGTCGCTCTTTATGCCCTCATCTATGTCGTTTATGTAGATTGTGAACAGCAGGGGGCCCAACACTGACCCCTGTGGAACACCGCTCGTGACGCTTCCCCACTCTGATTTCTCCCCATTTATGCAAACTCTCTGCTGCCTATTTGTCAACCATGCCTCTATCCAGGAAAAAATTTCTCCTCCTATTCCATGTGCTTTAATTTTCCTCAATAGTCTCTGATGTGGGACCCTGTCAAAAGCCTTACTGAAATCCATATACACAATATCATATTCGTTACCATGATCTACCTCCTCAAATACCTTAGTGAAAAAAGTTAATAAATTCGTAAGGCAGGAACGTCCCTTTGTAAAACCATGCTGAGATTCGTTGATTAATTTATGCTTTTCAAGGTGGCTACGAACTGCCTCGGCAATTATTGATTCCATAAATTTTCCCACTATGGAGGTTAGGCTTATTGGTCTATAGTTCGAAGCTAAGGACCTGTCACCTGTTTTGAAAATAGGTATCACATTTGCCATTTTCCACTTATCTGGCACCATGCCAGTTTGTAGTGATATGTTGAAAAGATTAGCCAAAGGTGTGCTAAGCTCCTCTTTACATTCCTTTAGAACCCTTGCATACAGTTCATCAGGGCCTGGGGATTTGTTAGGTTTTAATTTATCTATTTGCCTAAGGACCATGTCACTTGTGACCCTAATAGTGCACAGTTTATTATCGTCCTGTTCTACATAATTTATCATTACTGGAATATCACTGGTATCCTCCTGTGTAAAAACTGAGAGGAAGTATGTGTTAAAAATTCTACACATTTCCTTATCACTGTCAGTGAGCTGACCCGAGGAACTTTTGAGTGGGCCTATCTTGTCCCTGATCTTACTTCTGTATACCTGAAAGAATCCTTTTGGGTTAGTCTTCGATTCTCTTGCAACTTTAACCTCATAATCTCTTTTTGCTTTTCTAATTCCCTTTTTTATTTTTCTCTTTAACTGAATATATCGATTTCTTAATTGCCCCTCTCCTCTTTTGATTTGCCTATATATGCCTCTCTTTTGACCAATCAGATATTTTAATCTATTGTTCATCCATTTAGGATCATTTTTGTTTGATCTGATTTCCCTATTTGGAACATAATTTGACTGAGCAGCTAGAACTATGCCCTGGAAAGCATCATATCGGCAACCATCACCACCTACCTGACCCCTAGTCAGGTCATTCCAGTTCAGCCCACCTAAGTAATTTTTCAGTCCTATGAAATCAGCCAAGCGAAAGTCAGGGACGGAGACTTGATTGCCATTATTAGGGGAATTCCATGATATGTTAAAACTGAGTGATTTGTGATCACTCTCCCCAAGCTCATCATTAACCTCAAATTATTAATTAGTGTTTCCCTACTGGCAAGAACCAAGTCAAGGAGGTTATTTCCCCTAGTTGGCTCTGTCACAAACTGTTTTAAAAAACAATCCTGGATCGTATCAAGAAAGTCACCCGACTCTAAATTTCCTGTCAAATTGCTCCAGTCAATCTGTCTATAGTTGAAATCTCCCATTAGCACAACATTTTCGTATGTAGATGCCTTACGAATTTCGTCCCATAGAAGTTTACTGCACTCCCTATCAAGATTTGGGGCCCTGTAAATCACACCCAAAATTAGTTTTTCTCGGCCCTCGAGAAGCTGTAACCAAACAGATTCAGTGGCTGACGCTTCTAATTTAATATCTTGTCTAACACAACAATTTAAATTGTCTCTGACATACATCGCTACTCCACCACCTTTCCTGTTGACCCTGTCAGTGTGGAATAATTTATAGCCTTGTATGTGACATTCAGAGGGCATCTCTCTATCTTTCAAATTGAGCCAGGTCTCTGTTATAGCAATAATATCTATGTTTCCTGCACTTGCAATTAATCTTAGCTCATCTATCTTATTTCTAACACTCCTGCTATTAGTATAGTAAACCTTAAGGGAGCTAGTCCCTTGCTGCCCTCTGCTGTCCCCCTTTGTTTTCTGACCTGTTCTATTGTCTTTATTTATAACTTCATGCTGAATGCCTTTTATACATTTACTGGTTCCAACCCTAGTGTTGCAACCTGCTTGTTTCCCACACACACCCATACCTCTATCTTCCATCAGTTTAAAATCATAGGCATTTCACCAATGGCCTTCTCAATCGAGTCTGCAAGTGCTACCACCCCTGCCCCAGAGAGATGAACCCCATCCCTTGCATACATATCATGTTTGCCATAAAAGTTGTTCCAGTTGTCAATGAATGGGATTGCAAGTTCCTTGCAGTATCTGTCTAGCCAGCAATTTACACCAATTGCCCTAGACAACCATTCATTTCCTACTCCCCTTCTAGGCAAGATGCTACATATGATTGGGATCCCTCCCTTAGACTTAATGAAATCTATAGCTGACCTGTACTTATCTATTGTAGAGACAACATCCTGTGTAATGAAGCCTTAGGTAAACATTGCCCTGTTAAGTAAAAGGACACAAGTGTAACTAATGTGAAATTTTATTGTGGCAACGTTTCGCTCTCCAGGAGCTCTGTCAACGGCTTGACAAAGCTCCCGGAGAGCGAAACGTTGCCAAAATAAAATGTCACATTAGTTGCACTTGTGTCCTTTTTACTTAACATATTGTCGGTAATTCTACCAACGTCAATAAAAACATAGCTCTTGCTTTAATCATTGAAATTTCATATAAATCACGGTACCAGCATAATTGTTTATCTAATATTGGGTAATTTTTTGTTTATAACAAACGAGGAGGGCACGCGAAGACTTTTTTACGTGTGTGTGTGCACTCACCTAATTGAGATTGCAGGGGTCGAGTCCAAGCTCCTGTGTGTGTGTGTGTG